TTTATTTATCTTAAGATTTTTAAAAAAAATGGAATTTTTTATTTAAACTTAAGGTATTATTAATTTGAGCTGATCTTATAAAAAAAATAACATCTGAAAATTATTTATATCATTTTCAGGGTCGTCTGTATTCCTACACTGATACTCACCGCCACCGCTTGGGCAGCAATTATTTACAGATCCCAGTTAACTGCCCTTATAACACAAAAGTGAAAAATTACCAGAGGGATGGCCCACAGTGTGTGACTGATAATCAAGGTCAGTGTGGATATTACTATCATGTGTTTTGTTATTTGTTTATTTCATTCAATCTTTGATTTTAAAAAGTCCTTGTGTTATATGACCTGTTTTAATTGACATTTGTTGGGTACACAAGAGATTTCTTGGGCTTGATACAGGACACCCTTGTTAATTTTGGCAACAGATATTGATAAACTTTACATCACCTGCCATCTCAAAGGATAAACTTAATTGCAATTTACTTTCTTCCTCTCAATTTAACCTCAAGTTTTTGTTTTAAAATTTAAAAAATCTATTCACATTTACTGAAAATACAAAGAGAATACAATGTGTACATTTTAAACTCCTGTTTGGCTTGAAGTGAAATTTGTTTGTTTTTAAATATTCAGTACTTTTGAAGAGTAATTTAATTATAGTTGTATTACAATTTTTTTTTTTTTCGGTAAACAGACGGTGCACCGAACTACTTTCCCAATAGTTTTGGAGGACCAGTTGATGTCCAGGCTCACCTTGAATCAACCTTCACTTTGTCCGGAGATGTCCAGAGATACAATACTCACGATGATGACAATTTTACCCAAGTTGGAAACTTTTGGAGAAAGGTTAATGACATTTTTTTTTCAGCATTATTTTTGACTGCCACAGTGTTCGAATTTATGCCAAAGGCTGTGCTTTCCTTTGACTACAGCTCAGACAACTGAAAATCTAGAAAACTAAAAGTAATTTAAATGGATTTGAACATTGCATATTTCTCACCAACTTCCCATATGTTCCTGTTAAATATACTTAAAAAAAAAAATTCCCCTTTAAGACCTTGCAATTCTATAGAGCAGATAATGTAAAGATTATCTGTTTCTGTGGCTGGTTAAACGAGGGTGTCATGTGGCCAGCACAACCCAACCGCTTTGCTTTTCTCCAACCCATTAGAGCTGGGTGAAGTCAGAGGTGCCCTGAATATCCCAAAATTAAAATCCCAGTCCTCACCAGGATTAGAACTCAGGACCTCTGGTTCAGAAGCCAGGCGCTTTACGCTTTACCACTGAGCCTCTGTGCCTCCATGTAGTTAATAAACTAGTTTGTTGTTGTTTTTTTTTAATTCCTCCTATTAACTTGCAAACTCTGCATGGGTTCAAACTGGTTGGAAACTACATGGGTATTTTGGAAAGTTTGTAACAGTTTTCCTAGGAATTTTATAGTTTATGAATATCTTTTTCAAATAAAAAAAAATTGCCTTATTGGCCACACAGGGAAAACTCAGGTTTGACCATTATAATTTTTCAATATATAATCAGCTTAAAATTAAATGTGGCTCATGTCTTTTTTTTTTACATTTTTTTTAAACACAACTTCAGCGTGAATTACTTCATTCGACTCCAATGTTTCTTTATATTCAGTAAAGAGTTGAATAAATAATTAATCTACTTTAACATTTTGCGTATCGTCTTATGTAGAAATCATTAGCTGGACTGTTGATAGATTAACTTAAGTGTGCATAGTTGACTATATCATAAATGAAGCATTACACAAAATAAATAGAATAAGAAATTATAGCCACCATCAGCTTCATAAAGTAAAAATAGACTTTAATTTACTTAATTTTTTTTTATAATGTTTTTAATTTTCATTTGAAAGTTAAATTAAAAATATTAAAATGATGCGCTTTGATTACCATGTTTATGCATATTTAAATCAATTCATTGCTTTTCTCTTCCTGCAGGTTCTGTCTACTGATGAGAGGACCAGTCTGGTAGAGAACATTGTAGGCCACCTGAGGGAAGCCCAAGATTTCATTCAAAAGAGAGCAGTCCAAAACTTTTCTAAGGTTGACCCTGAGTTTGGACAGCGGGTCAAGGATGGACTCGGCCTTGGAAAGGTGATAATACACATTTTATTTTCTAAATAAGTAATCATTGTTACTGGGCGTCTCTATTTTTAGGAAAAATATTCTCACTCACTTAAAGTAGATTTTGTTTCATATTTATCTCAGGGTTATCTCCCATGTATCAAAATTTGAAAACTGATAGAAGGACAAAAAGATTGTACTGATACAACAACTTTCCTCGCTCGTAATGCCTGGTAACTCTTTTAAAAGGATGGGAGGAGAAATGTTTAGCTAAACACAGCTGGCTCTAGCTCAAGTCCATGCAATATATTTTAATCTTCATTTTACTATATATATGTAAAACTAAACAGGCATGTGTCAGGCATGAGAGAGATTAGCACTGGAGCGCCACAGTGGTGCGTCCTGTCACCAGCATTGCATACCATATACACAAATGACATTCAGAACCTATCAGCTGACACTCCCCATCATAAAATTTGCTAACGACACAGCAATCATTGGCCTTATTGCAGGTGATGATAATCTGTACAATTAAACAATTAACACCTTTTACCTATGGTGCATATATAACTTTCAAATTTTATATGTTCAGAAAACTGATAATTGACTTTAAGAAACATAAAGGCCATATTGCAGAAATTCATACAAACCATCAAACCATAGAACAATTAAAAGAATATAAATATCTAGGAACAACCATCAACAACAAACTGAAATGGAGTGAATACTGTCAAAACCTCTACACAAAAATACACAAATGACATTCAGAACCTATCAGCTGACACTCCCCATCATAAAATTTGCTAACGACACAGCAATCATTGGCCTTATTGCAGGTGATGATAATCTGTACAATTAAACAATTAACACCTTTTACCTATGGTGCATATATAACTTTCAAATTTTATATGTTCAGAAAACTGATAATTGACTTTAAGAAACATAAAGGCCATATTGCAGAAATTCATACAAACCATCAAACCATAGAACAATTAAAAGAATATAAATATCTAGGAACAACCATCAACAACAAACTGAAATGGAGTGAATACTGTCAAAACCTCTACACAAAAATACACAAATGACATTCAGAGCCTATCAGCTGACACTCCCATCATAAAATTTGCTAACGACACAGCAATCATTGGCCTTATTGCAGGTGATGATAATCTGTACAATTAAACAATTAACACCTTTTACCTATGGTGCATATATAACTTTCAAATTTTATATGTTCAGAAAACTGATAATTGACTTTAAGAAACATAAAGGCCATATTGCAGAAATTCATACAAACCATCAAACCATAGAACAATTAAAAGAATATAAATATCTAGGAACAACCATCAACAACAAACTGAAACGGAGTGAATACTGTCAAAACCTCTACACAAAAATTCGCCAGCGACTCTTCTATCTCAGAAAGCTAAGAAAATTTAACATGCACAAAACAATTATTAAACTTTTTTTATACAGCAACCATCAGCAGTCTAATTAACTTTGCCATCACCTGCTGGTATGGTAATACTTCAGTGGAACAAAGACTTAGACTAAATAGACTAATTAAAAAAGCATCGCATATCACTTGAATACAGCTACCGTCTCTTGAAGAGCTTTTTTATGAAAGATGCCTCTCCAAAACACTTTTGATTCTTAAAGACCACCTGCACCCATTAAACCACTGTTACATAAGATCTGAACGAAGTCGATGTCTCCTTTCTAAAACAGAAAGATTTAAGAACTCCTTTATCCCACTATCGATTAGAGTGTTACAAGGCCATCTGTCGTCATCGAGAAGTACATAGAAGTCAAATTCATAAAACGCCGGTTGTGAATGTGTATGTGTTTCGTGTGTGAATGTTGTTCGAATTTTTCAGATATACTGTTATTGTACAGTAGTTATGCTGATGTTGTCAATTGTATTCAAACTGAATTTCCATTTGATTGGATCAATAAAATTATCTTATCTTATCTTTTTATGCTTGCTGAATAAAGACCACATTCGCTAGTCCTAAGTTGCTTTTACCCATGAATAAAGACATTACTAGAAAGGAAACTTGTAATCTTGTAAAAGGGTTAGACACAAGCAAGAAATCCTAGCCATGACATGACATATGACAAGTTTTCATTGTGTAAAAAGACACCATAAACATTCTTGATCTATTTTCATCTATATGTTCCAGTTGGCTTTCTATAACAAAAGATCTAAAGATATTTTTAGCTAGATCTAGAAAACATTATATTGTTCTTTAAAAAGAAGTTTTGATCATCAAGGAAATTGTTTTTCTGACAATCTAGGGTGGTGGTTAGGGAGACAAAAATCTATTGGGAAAAAAATGTTAAGATATTTTAAAAATTAAAATGCATGTTGAATTGAATTTAAGTAACAGCATGTGGATAGGTTTCATTGAAAAATTACTTTGTTTTCTGTAACTTATAAAAAAAAAAAATTTAAAATTGATTTTTTTTTAACTTTTTTAAATGACATAGAATTCCTTAAAATATTTTCTTGCTTAAGTAAAAATATGTTTTTATATCGTGTAAAAAAACACCAAATCAAATTGTACTAAAATATAGTTTTGCTAATAATGCAAATGTCATGGGTTTCATCCCCCAATAGGTAATTATTTTTCAAATTGTCAATGTCCTATTTTTCTTTGGGAGAAAAACTAAATTAAGGTCAAGATCAGGGGTTGTTTCTCATGTACCAATTTTGTTCACTTGCTGTTTTACCATTTTTGTCTTTAAGACTCAAGGGAACTAACAATTATATTATATTTTTAAATACATAAATAAATGTCCTTTTTAATTTTACTTTAAATAATTTTTTGTTTTCTTTTTCAGGACAAAACTGGTGCCAACTTGTAGAAGACTAGAATGTTTAAGAAGTCGTCAACTTGACCAACAAATGAAGGGGAAAAAATATTTTATGTTATCATAATTCTTACCTGTTTGAAATTTTATCTGTTGCTACAAATTTTTGTAACTACATACTTGTGTTATGGTGATTATATTGTTATTGTTGCATAAAGTGCTTATGGTTTGTATTTTGAGATGTCTAAACATGTAATCAGATTTTCAGGTGTTAAAATAACAATTAAGATTTTTTTGTCCTGTCCTATCAGTATTCATCTTTCAGGCTTACCTCATTTCTTATTATTATCTGTATATTTGTTTAACTCAAAAGCTCTCAGCAGACAGGGTATTTCTGTGACTTTCTTTTATACATTTGTTGGATGAGGATGTGTTTCTGGTGGTGTGTTATTCCTTTTGGACTGTCATCACGATATTCCAGAGTTCAAACACTGCTGTCCTGCAGTTTGGGCAAGGATATAACAATCATTCTTTTCTGAATGAACATCTGAAATGTATAAAACAAAACTGATCATAATATGGGCATAAAAAAAATTAATGTTAGGGAGTTATTCTCAGTTAATTAAACTAGATTTTTAAGTACTTTTTTTTTTGTCTATTAACCTTCCTGGCAAGTTTAGTTCTGTTCTTTGTAGGAACAGGATTTTTCCTGACGACATAGCTCCAGAAGATTTGTATTCAATGAAACATTGATTCCACTATTTTTTCTTCTTTCTTTGTTCTAAAGCTTTGTTTTCAATTGCTTTTGAATCAAGTCCAAGAGATTGTGTGATCATCACAAAAAAATTTTTTTTTTCTCAATTAATGCTTGGTTTATGCTTAAGATTTTGTGGGGGATGATACAATGGTGTCATGTGAAGGAAGCCAATCATTTGGTATTGGGTGCATGCATGAAACTCAATGGTTTGAAGTGTCATCTATTTGACTTTAAAAACTTTAGCTGGGGTTAACAAGCATGTAACTTGCTGGTAATGGCTGTGTTACTCTTACACGTGTAGTTCAACACAGCGATATGTTACCGTAGTTCAACACAGCGATATGTTACCGTAGTTCAACACAGCGATATGTTACTGTAGTTCAACACAATGATATGTTACTGTAGTTCAACGCAGTGATATGTTACTGTAGTTCAACGCAGTGATATGTTACTGTAGTTCAACGCAGTGATATGTTACTGTAGTTCAACGCAATGATATGTTACTGTAGTTCAACACAATGATATGTTACTGTAGTTCAACGCAGTGATATGTTACTGTAGTTCAACGCAGTGATATGTTACTGTAGTTCAACGCAGTGATATGTTACTGTAGTTCAACGCAGTGATATATTACTGTAGTTCAACACAATGATATGTTACTGTAGTTCAACACAGTGATATGTTACTGTAGTTCAGCACAGTGATATGTTACTGTAGTTACTCAGTTCATATCCAGTGTTGAGTGATAATGAATTTATGTCAACATTTACTTAGAACTTATGTCATTTGTTGGAAATAAAATCATTTTTATTATTAATGTAATTATTGTTGTTGGCTTTTGTTACATTTCAAAATTCTGAATATCCCTTTCATAATGAGCCTATTTTTACAAAGCCATATAAACTGTCTGTCTGGTGAAATTCTTGTACACAATTTTCGTACAGGTTATTTCTCCTACAATCAATATCCAATCAAGTTGAAATTTTGCACAAATTATTTCTTGTACCTAACAAAAAAAGAATCATTTAGTCAATTAGTTAATTAATTATTGCTAATTATTATTTTTATGGTATCAAACAAGGGAAAGAAATTATACTTAATAAATGTGGTGGTATAAGTAGCATTAGTCCCCTTTGTACTTAGTGTAGAAAATTATGTTGTTGCTTAAAAGTTTGTAACTAACATTAGATAGCTATGAAACATAGTTTCAAAAGCACTTTGCTGGTACAGTGGTTAGTGAATAGGCTTAAGCCCTCAAGTTCGAATTCAAGTCATGCAACTTTAAAAAAAACTTTTGAAAAGATATCAAGGGACTAGCGGATTCAGAACTTTGGAGTGGGGGGTGGGGATTTTTTTCCAAGCTCTAACCCTAACCCCCAGTAAACCCTAACCCTATGTATAAACGTGCGTACAATATATATATATATATATATATATATATATATATATATATATATATATATATATATATATATATATATATGAAGAAACAAGTCCTTTTACGTTGACAGTGTCTTTTAATTGTCGAACATTTTAACCAAACATATATACACGGCAACGTTATATACAGATACCCAACTTCACTCGCTGACTTTCTCTCTCTCTCTCTTGTTTACACACTCGTCACTTCCCCCAAGTCCCCTAACTCTCGATACCCAACACTTGACCGTGTGTCACGGTTGACCACACAGTAACCGTGTCACAACAGTCCTCCCAGGGCAGAGAAAAATTTTGATCGTATCAAAATTTTATGAACCCAATAGTTTGGGTGTACATCAATAATGTTTTACATCGACAAGAAAAAACAATGACATGTAATACAATGGCATCTTCTATTATGAGAGAACTGATAATGTCTATGACGACAAATAAATCTTCAATAATATGTTATTGCAATGACATTTCCAATTGAATGCCAACATTGTCAGGTGAAAAATGCACAATTAGTTAATACTTTATGTTACATCAAAACATCTTCCAAATTAAGGGAATTGTTTACTATGTGTTTCTTTCATACCAGTTCCTAAATGGACATCTATCATCTATGACTACAATCAATGCAACATTGCAACAAACATAAAAAAAACTCAATTGTAGTACAAATTTACCATCACTGAATGAAAATAAAAAATTCTGGAGCGTAATGTTAATTCAATCTTGACAAGACAGACCTTAAAGTTATCTTACAAGGTATTTGTTAATTTTCTCATTATCTGATTAATGAATGAACATAAGTCCAGCGGTCCCTAGACACATCTTGTCAACACGTCAGCTATCACGTTGATTTGTCCCGGAATAGCTTGAAGTGTAAAGCTGAAGTCTTGAAGTTTTAAAGCCCATTTAGTGATCCTCTGGTTGGCTAGCTTATTTGTATTGATATAAGCTAATGGCAGTGCTGGGTAGTAACTAGTTACAGTAACGCTAGTTACTGTAACTAGTTACAATTTGAAGTAACTAATGCTGTAACTAGTTACTTTTACTGAACTGTAACTAGTCTAAGTAACTAGTTACTTTTATCAGTAACTAGTAACGCAAATTGCTAGTTACTTTACTAGTTACTTTGGTCGTTGTTGTATCATGTGTGCGCATGCGCATGTGTGTTTATTGGCGCCTGAACGAGCCTATGGCAATCAATAATATTTGTTAAGTATTTTTATGTTTATGGTTATAGGAAGTTCTAGTTGGTTGTGAGCGATAAAAAAGCTAATTTAATTTTTGACAAACTCAATGGCGGACTCAAAGCAAATTGAAAATTCTTTTGAACGTTCAGTGTTTACCGAATTTTTTACGAAAATTGAAATCGACAACAAAAACGTTCGTGTACGTTGCAAGCTTTGTCCTCCAGCTACGAAACAGACTTATAGCTGTGCGCTCAATTCTACGGCCAATCTCAAAAAACATCTGCAGGTTAGCAAAGTTATGTTATTATATAATTAATAGGCTGAAGATGCCATTGTTTCAAAACATTTACATTTGTAAAAACCAATTTATTATTTATTATGATTATTTTTTTGTACTACTTTTTATTATTAGAGTGTTCATCCTGCTGCACATGATAAATTACCAACACTGAAGAGGTCTGTCACTTCATCAAATGGATTACCTGAACCGGTGGCGAAGAAACAGAAAACTTTAACTTCATGGACCAGTAATAGTGTGGCACTTCTGTCACAGCAACATGTAAACGATCTGATCATGAACTTGTTTTATCGGAGACATGCAAGCATTTTCAGTTGTTGAATCACCTGAATTCATTAAATTGGTAACTGGACTTCAACCCGGCAAAACTGTGATGACACGAAAGACTCTCACTGGTTGGTAGTAGTATTTACAATATATTTTTTATGTTTTGTTTCATTATTTAATTAGTACATTGTGTTGCTATTTGTGTTTGTATAATTTCGCTATCAACATATACAGTGAATTTAGATTTATTAATTTGTAATTGGTATTTAGATTTCAGATTTGTACTTAAAGGCATTATTTGCATAAAATGTCATTCATCTTATCTCATTACAAATTTTTTAAAATAATAATATAAACAAAAAATGTTTATTCTGGCAATTTAAAAAAGAGCTTTTGTTGTATAATTTTAATATACAGGCAACATTGAAGACGAATACAAGACAATGCATGATGATCTTTAGCAGAAGCTGTCACTTGTTACTGTAGTCTGCACGACAGCAGATATCTGGACAGCCCATAATCGAAGTTTTTTTGGAGTAACTGTGCACTGGATAGAGATAAGTACTCTAGAACGAAAATCAGCTGCTTTGGCATGTTCACGATTACGAGGCAGACATACCTTCGACTTGATTGCTGCAACACTTGAAGAAATTCACTCCAAATTCCGCATCACTGAAAAAGTTATATGCACAGTTACTGACAATGGATCAAATTTTGTAAAGGCTTTTAAAGTTTTTTCTGAGCTGGAGACAATGCAGGCAGACTCAAAACAGACAGTGCTATCACAAATAGAGGATGGAGCAGTGACCTTTACTAATGTTGCAGACATTCTAGAAAATGACAAGCAATCTTGCCAAGATGCTTCAGAATTTACATTGCCACCTCATCATCGTTGTGGAGCTCACACAATAAATCTTATAACAGTTTCTGATTCAGAAAAAGCAAATGATGATTTTAATTACAAAAAGTTGAACCGCAGCACTTTTGCTAAATGCGCTGCACTCTGGAACAAGGCAAGCAGAAGTCCACAGGCAGCTGAAGTGGTGCATGATTTATCCAATTTAACACTTGCTGTTCCAAATGTTACACGATGGAACTCATTTTATAATTCTGTTGGCAAGGTCTATTCCATTGTTGAGAAAAAATCTGAAGCTGTGTTAAATGACATATGCAGCAAACTTTCTCTAACAAGTTTCCGCCCAAATGAAATAATTTTCATGGCCGAGTACATCAAGGTTATGCAACCATTAGCCATGGCTCTGGACACGTTGCAAGCTGAAGTCAACTGTTTCATGGGACTACTCGTACCAAAAATTTCTTCCTTGCGTTCACATCTTTCTTCAATGAAGCCCTTATTGAAGTTTGCGGCTCCACTGGCTGATGCATTACTTAGTGGAATCAGTAAAAGATTAGGCCCACTTGAAGGTGAAGATGATTTGATAATTGCAAGTGCTTCTCATCCACAATTCAAGCTCCGATGGATACAGTCTGACGCTGAAAGAGTTCGAGCTAAATATTTGCTGCTACAAGCAATGCAGGCCATGGCTGACTGTGATGCTGCAGGCAATGCTTCCAATGATGTTACAACTGCAACGACTTCATCATCTCATGTAGGAAGTTTCTTCTGTTTTTATGAGTCTGATACTGGAGGTAG